TTTATGAAAAATCAACATTTACGCATGTTGCTGAATACACATTCTCTGACTTAGTGTAGATTTAACCATATGACCTCGATTTTATTGGAGTTCATAACACCATTCCGGATTGTAATGTGTGGAATTGTTCACACGAGGCAGCATCATTAAGTTGTTATAGTGTACAGCAGTGTCTTGTTTATTGGTGTTGGTGTTCAGAAATTATTTGCTCTGGCATGTAGGCTTGAGCTTCCTCCTTGAAACACATGAAGGGGTATGACCTACAAGTGTAGCTGTGTAGGCGATTATTGTAGCATTTTAAACACACTGTCTGGATGGGCACAGTTAAAAAGTTGTGGGACCTTGTTTCAGCGATGCCACGATTGGAGACAGTGGCTGGGCTGGGCTGTACTTCGGAGTTTCAGCGATGTACTTTTAGTATTTTTTTTTTTAGTATATGTACTGCCGAAGCAAGTGAGTATGATGATGATTGATGTTAAGACGGACCTTCCTTTCTGGTAATTCTAGACCATTTTCTTACAATATGATGATCAATACATTCTTCTTATTTCTGACCTTGACCAATGATCTAATATTCCCAAAACGGCCCATGGTTGTTGAACCACTGATAAGAAATATACTCCCGTTAAAGAGGCAGTACAGAAAACAGAGTATTAAGTATCAATATTGTGTGTCGTAGGTCATATGTGTACACTTGACATATTGATCTAAGAACATAAACTAATTAAATACCCTCCCCCCTCCCTCGTGTAATGAAGGTAATTATAACGTTTGAACCTTGATTATATTACTGCAGGGAGTGACCTTATCCGGGCAACCTCCCCTGCGTGCCTGTAGGGGCAGTCAATAGCAGTGATTGGTCTTGGTGTTGTATTCCCATCCCCACCATCCTGTCACCTTGCACTAAGAGAAGAGTTGGGGTAAGACAACTGCTGGCAGCTGTCTTCCACGCCCACCCGCTTCACCTTTCATCAATGTTCATTAAGTTCTCCCCACTACACCTAATCCAGACCTCTCATTAACTTACCTATATTTTTCCTTGTTAGAATGGGCAAAGTTAATTTGGACACGTACAGCAATATCTCTCTTAGCACTTATCCACCATCTTTCATTACTGCAGTACTCTCAAGTCACTCCTACTTTAAGCTTCATGAATTTTTTTAACAGGTTACATATTATATATAATGTGTTGTGGGATATTATGTTTCTGAGCTGACCCTTCGTCCATCATACTGGTAGCTGTCGTTGTGTAGAAGCTGCCCAACAACAACTGATGGGCCTGTGTGTAAAGTCATGCATACAGTGAAAAGGAGGAGCACTGTAGATGCGCATGACGTATTTGTTTTGACCTCGACCCATGCATGCTATCTCACCAACATCACGGAGGTCTCAGTCCAGTTTAGGGGATTTGAAGATACATAATTGTTCCTCTCAACACACCTCTGCTTCAGTGTGTGTATGTGTGTAAACTCGGCCCCCTAAGTAGCAAGGCGGCACGCGGCTGGTTGGGTCATAAGTCATCTCCCACCACCATAAATATGTTGACTGTCTTCATTGGCGTGACGGCACCGAAGCTGACTATTTTCTGGTTGGTTAGGCACACCCGCAAGGGAGGGGATCAGGTCGCGAGAACGACTAGGTGTGGAGAGAGAGAGAATATATATATATATATATATATATATATATATATATATATATATATATATATATATATATATATATATATATATATATTAATCATTTTTTACTTGGAGAATGAAAAAAATAAATAAAAATGAAAATAATGGACCTGGATTGTATAAGTTGTGCTACATCAGTTATATCGGTATTTTCATCAGTTGCAACAGAAAATGAAGTAAAGGACTTAACTTTGTCTTTGAGTTGACTTTTAATATTCTCTGATCATTCATTAATTGTCTCTGAAACTGTATTTCTTGAGAGGCTAATGTTTGCAAATGCTTGGCTTTTTTCCGAGCAAATATCTTCTGAAGCCATCATCATACATGTCTTTATAAAGTTCCCTTCAGAAAAAGAGTTCCATGACACAACTAATTCATGGGCAATCGTGTAACTTGCCCTAACTGCAGCATCACTGACTTGATGAACACTCTTGGTGTCGCGAAATTAGGGAATTACTACGCTCGCTGATATGTATTTCGGTCATGTTCTATCGGCTTTTAAAAGTTGCAGTTTGTCACATTAACAGGATTGAAACCTCTGCACTGGATGCGGAGTGCAGGCGAACGTTTCACCCAAATTCATTAGCGTCGCCTGCGTGCTCAGACTCCCAGACTTGGACCCTGTTACTATATTCTCTTCACGCGTCGCAAAATTCCAGCTTTATTTTTGCATGTTGTTCGGGACAAGAATATATATATATATATATATATATATATATATATATATATATATATATATATATATATATATATATATATATATATATATATATATATATTTATATATATATATATATATATATATATATATATATATATTTATATATATATATATATATATATATATATATATATATATATATATATATATATATATATGATAGCCACAAGGAGAGAAACTGAGAGTTCCCCAGCGCTCAAATTGTGAATTCATCTTCAGGGGTGAGTACAGACTCACAGATGTGTGGACCCACAGCTGTTCAATGATTCTAGTCACCTGATTTACTTGCATATATATATATATATATATATATATATATATATATATATATATATATATATATATATATATATATCTTGATAAACATTAATAAACATTAGTGATGGTCAGTTCAAAACTGATATGTTATATAAATTTATTTGTCAGTGGCCCAAGGTTAAAAATGCTTTGAAAACCTTTGATCTAGATGTAGGATAGTTATTTAGTGGGTCCCTTATTTTTGACCTGACCTGACTAGTCGCGTCGCCCCCTTCTCTTAAGCTCCTCTACGTGTGTGTTGGTGTGGGGATTAGTGGATGCCATCATTATGACCTGACCTCATGTTTAATAAGGTCACCTTGTATATTTAAGCCGCTCTCTGTCCATGTAATCCAGTTGCCTCTGAAGATGTCTTGAATATAGACGAAAGCTAAGGTTTTTATCAAGATTTATCTTATCCACGTTTTCATTGTGGATCTACATGTGATATATATATATATATATATATATATATATATATATATATATATATATATATATATATATATATATATATATATATATTGATGTGATTATTCGCCCTGGCACTTTTCTTATATTTGGGCCGCATTATATAAATAAATTATAAGCAGATTTATTCGTTTCAGATTCAGATGAATAAAATTTTTAATTAAACTTACAGACCACCACCATTTTTTTTCTCAATGTTCTGGATCTTCTGAAGTGTGAAACTTTAAACTCTTGTATTGGTTAACAGTATACTTATTCAGTTGTGTGAAACCAGCAGACTAGGTAATACATCCTCCTGACAGTTTAATAAGAGCAGCGGTTAAGTGCCAGCGTTCTCCGAATTCCTTCGTTGTACATCGCCAGTTGAGGATTGTTTTATTTTTTTTCGGAAAAGTCGAGTATTTTTTTTTTTGCCCCGCTACGTAATACTGTAGATACTGAAGCAAATAGGCCAGTTGCTCGAGCCTCAACTTAAATTAGAGATAACGACCAGGGCCGAATTCAGGAGTGGGCAAAGTGGGCAGCTGCCCAGGGGCCTCCACATATTACAATATTTTTTTTATTTGTTTATTCATTTGGATTATTTTTATTTTCATTCTTTAAAATTCATGTTTATCTATTCCATCACGTAAAACTATGTTCAGCAAGAAGCGTGATAGAAATTAGGCTAGCTACTTGGACAGAACCATTATTTGAGTAGAGGTTTATCTGATTAATAATGCAAAGAATCATCTCTCTGTAATAACTAATAATATATTCTTTTCTGTGAAGTCTCTTGAAAATTTTTGACATGTGCGGTAGTAGCTATATCAGGGCTGGTCGACTTGAAACCACATGAATGACTCCAGTCATGACTCACTTTTGTGTATGTGTGTTGGGAATTTGTACACTGTCAATAAATATACAGTTAATTAAAAATTTCTCAATGTTCTAATTTCCTCAATATAACTGCATATGGTTTCAAAATTCTCCAAAGAAGTGTTCAAATTTCAAAATTTTCCCGGGGGCTTACAGCGCCCCTCTGAACTCCCAGATGTTTAGGCTCGCTTCACTCGCCACCCCACCCTCTTGGGTAGTTATAATGAGGGGGGCCTCCACAAAGAGGCTGCCCATGGGCCTCCACAGGTCCAAATCCGGCACTGATAACGACCGGTCTTTGCTGTGAACCTTTCTGCGCCTCTAGAAATCGGACTCGGACTGAGTATCCTGTATGAATTGTATTAATTTATTGGCTGTAACTAAAAATCCAATCAAAATTAAACCTAAAAATGACAGGTAAGTAAAGCTATCTGGTATACAGTATTATGTTAGTGCACGCCCGAGTCTTACGTCATTTTATATTATAATTGCCAAAACCTAAACCGAAAAAAGTGATTTATCGTGTTTCCGCTTTTGCCTACTGCAGTTAACGACATTTGATTATTGATGACTATTGTTAAGTCTAGACTCAGAACCTAAACAAATATGAGGAAAAATCGGAGTCATTTGTATGCTACTTCGTCGCCTTTAACACTAGCAGTCAAAAATTAATTGTTGTTTCAGTGAGGGAGAGTTGGAGTGATTTAAGATGCTAAACAGAAGACTCAATTTGTTTATCCTTCATCTTCTAAACAAGCAAGTCCATAATATGGTCCTAAATTTAGTTTGCTTAAACTGTTTCTCATGGTGTTCCCAGGAGACATCCTGTCATCTACCTGATTGACAGGTAACGACCCAACGGATGCAAAACCCGTGAGCAATGTGGGCGATTATGTCCAACTAATTACACTCTCACAAGAGAGAATATGGGCAGTGATGCACTTCTTAATAGTGATAACCTCTTGTATTTTCAGGTGAAATACACACAACAGCAAGGCGCTTGGACCGTGAGACACAGGCAGAACACGTCCTTGAAGTGACTATCAGTGACGGTGATGACCCTACCACGGCACTCTCTTCCACCACTTACATTGCCGTCAACGTCCTGGATGAGAATGATCATGCTCCTGTCTTTTTAGAGAGATTATACAAGTTTTTTGTTCCTGTCATTGCCCATTCCAAACCACCGATGGATGAAGCAGTTATAGACAGAGATTATATAGAGGATATGCCCATTGGGCAGGTAAGTAAGGCTATCGATTTACGTTTTTGTACATAAAATAAAGTATAATAATATGAACATCATGATTTTGTGATACAGTAATTCTATTTGTTAGTGATGCAGTAGTATTTGATGGGTGTTAATTATCATGATTAACATGTGCTGTTTATAATACAGTATAGTAGTAACATAAGCCATTATAGCACATGAACTTGCCTTTATAGTAAGATAATTTTAACGAAACCAGAATGCTTTGTATATAAGTCATTTACCCATTACTAATATTATCGTTAAGTGGGACATGGAAGCATGTTGGTTCTGTATGTAATGAAAGATCCCTAAACGTTGCCTGTCAGTCACTGATGACTGATCACCCCAGTATGTTTGTGGATACCCTATCATCGTAACACAATGCTTTATTAACCTTATGGGATTGTTTTCGGATGCCGAATATTACTGCTAACAAGTGTAATAACACTGAATATTGTGTCACGTCCTGTCACCCATGTACTACTGTATACTCTCGTGTATCACCCACACAGCACATGGGCGTGATAATACCAAGCATGACCGCCTTGTTTAGAAGTGCAGACCACTGATCACAGTATAATCCTTCAATATAAAGAGTAATAGATACATAGCATATTTCAGTAATTTAGTTTTGCCTGGAGGTTTTGATACTATACTTTATTCATATTTCTGACTCATTTTACTTGCTGTAGGCTATGTTGTTTAGGGAACTCAGTAAAGTCACTCCTGCAGCAGTACAGAGGTGTTTTTATGTGTGTAATAGACGTTAACAATTTATTAAGACCTTTGATTAGCTTACAATTATAATTTACTACGAAACTTCGTTTAGTCAATAAAGTTGTTATATCAAAGGAAATTACCTAAAATATTTGTAAAGGGAGAAGGGTATTTGAACAATTTCACTACTGAAGGGAGAAGATTGTTAGAAGCGTATCACTGCTGAAGGGAGAAGGGTGTTAGAAATAATATTCACTGCAGTTGTTCCAGTTATAAGGGGGTATTTTTTTATTGTATTTACTTTTCAGTAATACTGTACATTATAAGGTCTGTGTTTAAAGAATATTATGTATTTCAATTAAAGTTTTAAGTTATTGATCCTTTTTGAAAATAAGAGAGCATGTAACGGAAATTTTCTCTTCAAAATCGAGATAAATGATTCATTATTTCAAAATTCCTGTGTGGGAGGGGGTGGGGAGGCAATGGCTGGACAGTGGACCTGTCATCCAGTAAAGGTGTGCGGACTTTACACCACCCACCTTGACTGTTGTGAGAACTTTCGTCCGGGACTGTATAGTGCCTATGTCGGATTCTTAAAATAATTAACCTTATGGGAACTCATTCGGATCGGTGGGTGTTTGTAAGTCTGACGTTCATAACCCAGGGACTCTCTGTACTGTATACTGTACTGTATAATATGTAATCTTTACACTCCAAGATACTGGCTCTGGCCAGGCCAAACAGCGATACATGTACTGTACTGTTTAGTACTTTTATTGCCAGATCTGTAAATACATGCATGTGTGTGTAGACAATCACTTCCTCTCTTAGTGTATTTATGTGTACAGTATATATATAAACTGTACATATAACTGAACTGCTGTACCAGTAGGCTATATACTGTACCTTACAGTACTGTATATTGGTAGTACAGTACAGTATACAGGTACTGTACAGTATATGAATGAAATAATGTTAGAATGAGATGTTGACAATAAGAATTAAGGAGAAGAAAAGAGCATACGAGTACAAGTTGGAATTAAGGACTGACAATAAAAGGGGGAAGTACAAGGAGATTACAGTCATGCTCCGGTTAACGTCCTAGATACATTCTTGGAAACGTGATGTTAACCGAGATGGACGTTGTCCGAAATTACATAAACCTATGGGATTTATTCTAATTGGTTCCAGGCACCCATCCCCAAGTTTCCCATTTTACGGACATTTAGACCCACTAAATATACATATATATATAATGTTATGGTAAATATCATAAACACACATAGGCATGGCTAGGTTTATTACAAAGTGATGAAAAGGATATGATCAATACTGTACAGTGGGTAGTCCACAAAACATGTAGCCATGTCTCTTTATTTGAGTGCCCCGTCATAGGAGTCCGTTTTCTCTCACTTCAGGACACCTGAGTCGTCCGTTTTCTCTTAATCTTAGAGTGCAGTGCACCAGAGACTTCGTTATTCTTTAGTAATGACACAGAATTTGAAATTGCAACCCCAATTGTAACTGGGGTTGCAATTGTTGAGGCAACTAGATATGTCTGATTACAGCAAATGTGTTATTGTCAATTTGTAAGTGAAAGATTTTATCCTCAATAGATGTAGGTTAACATTACACCTGGAGGCAAATGCCTAAGGAAGGAAGGAAGGATATTCCTTTAACACACAATATCTGGCCAGCATGGGGAGGATCATCGTGTCTCCGTCAGGGTGTCATGGAGTGGTGGTCCAGCAAGCATCACGGAAGTGTGTGTGTGTGTGTTTTTTTTTTTTAAGGGGCACGGACGTATATGCGATCGGGCGTTGTTTGGTTGGACGTTAACCGGCGCATGACTGTTGAAGGAAAGAAAAGAAATTAGTGAAAGAATTCAAAAGGAGAGCAGACGAAAGATGAGGAAAAAGATTGTTGCAACAAGAAAAATTCTAGAGTGAACTGATAGTGTGAGAAAAACAAATGGAAATGATAATTAGAATGATAGAGGGGAAAAAGAGGAATGACTAGAGATATGGGGAAGACAAGTGAAGCGATGTGCTGTACAGTATTGCAAGAAAAAGGGCAAGAGTGATGGGGAAATTATTAGGAACAACTTCTAAACAAAGCAGATGAGCTGTAAACATTATTCAGTTGTAGAGCAAAGGCAAAAGAGGGAAAAGCAATAATTGAGGAGGAGGAAGAGAAGGTTGCTGGATGCCTAAGAGTTTTTATGGTGAGAGTGAATCATGTGTTAAGAGTTTGTCATATAAAAAGAAAATTGGTTCTTAAGGAAAGAAGGACTGTGTAATATCATCATGTTTGTTAAAAACTTTCATAGATAGTAGTAAAAAAGATGAAACCAAAAATAATGGAGAGGAAGTTTATGATAAGGAATACAACTGGGTGGTGAGTCAGCTGCTTTATGCAGATGACAGTTCTCGTGGACAGTTCTGAAGAAAAATTACAAATTGTTTCGAAGATTGTTTATTAGATAAATTTAATAGTAAATGTGAACAAAAGTTAGGTGATGAAAAGAAATAGATATGAAAGACAAGGAGAAATGAATAACTTAAATGGTGATACTGTACTGTACAATGGAGGAAGTGAAGTGTTTCAGATACTGTATCTGGAAGTGGATTTGTCAATAGTGATGAACCATAGAATGTCAGAGGGAAGAAATCAATAGATTCATTGAGAAATGTACTGAGGTGGGAATGTACACGGGAATCGTTGAGCTGATATTATTTTATGGGTCTTAAGCCTGGACTTTGGGTAATTGGAAGATAAACATACAGTAAGTCCTCGCTTAATGTCGTAATTCCGTTCCTGAAAACTTCAACGTTAACGGAATCAATTTTCCTCATAAGAAATAGATAAAATAGAGGAGTTACGTTCCTCAGCCTCCCTTTGTCCCCTAAAATACATTACATATACAGAAATTCAATGGAATTTTTATAGAAAATAGTACAGTATATATTATGCATCCAAAAAGATAAATAAACTAAATCATTTTTGTATTGTACAGTACTCACTGATGGGCGGAGGTACAGCGAGTGTGTGGTGGGTAGTGGAGAGGAGGAGGGTGGGAGAGGATGAGGAGGGGAGAGGATGAGGAGGGCGGGAGAGGAGGAGGCGGAGGATGAAGGCGGGAGAGGAGAAGGGTGGCAAGTCACTGAGACCTGGAGGGTGGCTCCTCCTCCCGCTCTGACTGTGTGAGAGAGGGTGATGCACCGTACAAAGTAGTCTGTGACGACTTTATACTGAATCAGCGGGACGTTCTGTTAATCATGGATTTCTAAAGAGTAGCGACGTTATAACGAAACAACATTGTCGGGGGTAATGCTAAACTAGGACTTACTGTATTACAAGCATCAGAAGCATTTGCTTGAGAGAAGTGTTTCGAAAGAGTAGGATACAGGGGCGATGTATTCAGAAGCATGGAAAAGATTCGGATGTCAGAAAAAATTGAGCAGAAAGCATAGCAGGGTATCCCTCAGTGGATATGACCTATCAAGAGGATGAAGAGTACGAGTATTTCATAGGTGGATGGCTTTAGGGAGAGGGGAAGACTGATAGGAAATAGAAAGATGTGGTGAAGTACAGTGCATACTAGAAGTGTAGGATGGACATTCAGTAATCAGCAATGGTCACAATTGATTGGAGAGTAAGACATTGACTGAATTTTATGGAATGGGTGATGGTGGATTGTGAGTATGAATCAGGGGTAAATCAGGTAGGTAATTAGAGCACTGTTGAGGAAGGGGAGAACAGTAACTTAATAAGACCACTTCAAGTACAACATTTACAATGAATGAATGACTGTGAGTGGAGGGGAAGTTTGAGTACAGTACAGTGCAGTATGTATGGTAATTGATGTTGATTCTGGCCACCCTGCATATTAGTAAGAAAAGGCTTGAAAAGAATAATATAATTTTTGAATAGTACAGTATACGTATATAAAACAATCACTCACTTCACCTGAACACCAGTTACATTAAGTATAACATAAGAGCAAAAATTATATGCCTACTTTACCTGAATTATCAAATAAAAAAGGAAGATTAATACAGAATACAGAATAAATGGTAACATTTCAAAATTTCAAAAGCCCTTCTCCGGTTTATTTCTGTTTTTCATAGTAAAATGGATTAAGTGCACTGTAACTAAATCTGGAAAGTATAGCACTAATACTAATGCTATGTTGTCATACGGGTACTGGTACTTGCAGATGGCTGCTTAATTTTACAGGAAAATTTTTGTAAATAATATTTTTCCTTTCTTTTCTTTTTTCTTTTTTTACCAAATAGGAGTGTGTTTGACAAGGTAACATAAAATGAATTGTATTATAATTAATGATACTACAGAATATAGATGCTGTGTCATAAAGTTAGCCCAGACATGTATTACGTATATGTTGAATAGGAGGAAACGCATGGTAATCTGACATTTATGCAAAACATGGCCTACCATTACTGTATTGCTTTTTGCTTAGCCCAATAACCCACTAATAGCTAATCCCTAATCTATATCATGTGGCTGCGTAGAACTTCTCCTCACCCGATGCTGACTACTTCCTCCCATACAAGAATGTGAGGGTGAGAGATGCAGAGGAAGATGAGGAGGGATCTGGGGGAGATTCCCTTTTCCTGAAAGAGTATAGGAGCTCCGGCCTTGTGGAAATATTGGAAGACCAACAAAGGGTGGAGGAGGAGGTGGAGCTGGATTATATTCCTATATGTAGGGTAAGAAGCTTGAAGGGTTGGGTCAGAACAGGTCTTTAGTAGTACTACAGTGTATCCAAATAATACCTTTGTTGTTTATGACTTGTCCACAGTTGTTGAACTCATATCTTGGTGAATAACTGGAAAGCTTAGAAAATGTGTTGTTTTTGTTGTTCATGTATATATGTTGTTGCTGCATGTTGTACAGGAATGCCTTGTTTTGAGTATACTGTTTTTCATGATTTCATTCTCTTCATTTTTCCATCTATTTTTAAAATAAGTTTTCATGATCATACTAAGTGAGGTCACTTTCTTCACAGGTTGTGGCTGTTGATGAAGATGAAGATGATAATGGAGATATAAGTTATCATATAGAGTCCACCAAATGGCATGATTTATTTAAAGTTCACCAGAAAACTGGTGTGATATCTGCAAAGGCTGGATTGGATCCAAGAGAAGATTATGAATTCACAGTATGTTATTGGTGATGTGTCTTATATGTACTGTACAGTTTTATATACAGTATACTGTATATATAACCTAAACCTCCCACATATGTGTGAGGTTTGATGTAGCTGTATACCATTAAATTATTTCTAGTTCATAAATAAAATATTTAACTTTGATTGTAGATCAGAGCTCCTTAGAGAAATTTTTTAGCTTTTTAAGTGTGCAATATTCTCCATTGTCTTAATTTATTGGAGTTATTATACTGTATCGGGGTTTTTGAGAAATTATTCCAAAATTTTCAGGTCCAAGCTATAGATAATGGGCGACCACAGAAGTCTAATTCATGCTTGGTGCTCATCAACTTGGTACCAGTATTGAAAACCTCTCCTAATGCACCTGTCATGCTCGATCAACCTGAGGTGCGTGTGACTGTGTTAGAAAGCGACCCCATTGGCCACCATGTAACACTGATTGAGGCTCAGGATGATGATGGTGATCAACTCTGGTTTGATATTATTGGTAAGATTTGGTTCCTTATTTTTTTCTTCTTACTACTGTATTATTTCTTAGTAATGAACAAGGAAGGACATGCTTCTTCTGATGATTGGGTATTATTTTTATAACTCTGAGTAATGTATGATTGGAATGCAAGCCAATTATTTACAAATGTAATGATTGTTGGTCAGGAGGAAGGGTGTTGGTGATGGCTGGGGACTGTGCTGTGGTAGGATAGTCACAGTGGGGGTGGAGGGAAGCACATAAACATTGACAAACCCTTTAGTGTGAGTGTGATGTGTGTGTTGGTTGTAATCTTATGATATTTGGTTGCAGTATGGAACATGTAGGGCATCAGTGTTTACGTGAATGCACAATTAATTTTGTAAGATTTCAATCTTGAATCTTTTTTCTTTCTTTTTTTTGCCATACAGTATCTGAGTTGTTATTTTGCACACAATCACTGGATCCACAAGGTAAGTAAAGATAATTTTTGCAATTAATTGATGTTTAATTTTTTCTTGCTATTTCAGGTGGTGATGAGGAGAACATGTTCACTGTTGGGCGAGATACTGGAGGTGTTATGGTTGCTGGCCATTTGGATGCAGAGCAAAAATCAACTTACAACCTGACAATTTCTGTGACTGATGGTGTTCATGTTGTTACAACTCAGGTAATGAACATCATGATATAGGCTAAGAAAATGTAAAAAAAAAGGAAGATTATTTATTCTTGGGTAGAAATAAGGACATCAGTGCATGAGAAATGACAACAGGATTGTAATATGGTTGTTGATATTGAGGAAATCAAGGATGTTGGATGTTAGGAGAAAATACTATGATCGACTGCTGAATGAGGAGTATGAATGGGATGGGCAACCTACAAGTCGTCAAGCCAGTTTTAAACCCATTCCTAAGGATTGAAAGAGAATGGGCAAAGAAAGCAGTTGTCAAATTGGAAACTGAAAAGGCTGCCAGACACTCTGGAATAGTTACAGAAATGCTGAAAACATCAGATAATGTCTGCATGTCAATGGTGACGTAATTAATTAATGTAATCATGATGGAATTTACTGTTCCAGCTGAATGGCTGAAGAGTGTGATCATGAAGACTTGCAAAGTTAAAGGTAATGCACTTGAATACAGGATTTAAAGGGCCTAAAGCTGTTACATCAGGTTCTGAAAGTTGTGGAAAGAATGATTGAGAAATTGATGAGGAAAACAGTCGACATTAATGAAATGTAGTTTCAATTCAATCCAGGTAGAGGCACTACAGAGGCAATATTTATGGCCAGTTAATTATACAGAAATATCTAGGGAAGGGGAGAGACCTTTATTTAATATTTGTAAACTTAGAAAAAGCATTTGGCAGGGTACCAAGTGAGTACAATGGGCAGTGAGAAAGGTAGCAGTTGAGGAGTGTCTTGTTTGAGTGGTGATGGTACTGAATGAGGGCTCAAAAATTGCCATGAGAATAAATTGTGAGGAATGGGAAGTGAAAGTAGGGGCTCATCAGGGTGCTGGGGTCACTAACCTGTAATTAAATTTTATGACTGGTCTACCCTAGGAGTTATTGTATACTGACAACTTGGTGCTGATACAGCGCTCGCCTCCTGTTTCAGGTATTCCCTGTTCATTCAGTTGTCAATGGGTACCAAAATTTATAACTTGGAGAAGTGAATGCAGTTGAGTGCAATAATGGCCTTGTGTAACTTAGGCTTTATGTACAGTGTGCTGTATCTACACTGTCCCTAACAGGCAGTTATGCCTATAGGACCCACTTTCACTTTTTATGCACAGGTAATCATGTGGCTTTAGCAATGCTGGAGAAGCTCAACATTTTGGATATATTCCTGGACTGTTTCGATGAGTTCTGCTACCTAGGTGATATGATCAGTGCTGGAGATGACACTGAAGCTAGTTCAATTGTAAGAGTGCAAGTGACTGGAAATATGTTATGGAGATGTTGCCTTTGTTAAAGGTAAGAGGACCTTCCCTTCATATGAAAGGGATGATAAAAATAACTGATGTGAGAAGTGTGATGTTGTATGGCAGTGAAACTTGGGCTGTTAAAGAGGATGACATACATAGGCTTGAGCAAGCTGAAATGAGAATGGTGAGGTGGATGTGCAATGTAACCTGAAAAGATGGGAACCTTCTTCAGAGAATGTTGGCAAACTGTTACTTAGAGGCCTGCTAGATGGTTTGGGAATATGGAAAGTGAAAATTAACATATTTAAATGACAAAGTTAGTCTATACTACTGAAAAATATATATACTACTTGTATAAAGGTAATTTAAAACTTACATGCACAAAGCATAATTGACTTTTTAAATATTCTGAAAGTATTTAAATATTTCAAGGTTTATTAATTAACCCTAATATCTGAAATTTTAAAATTTTGAATCCAGATCCTTAACCAGCAAGTATAGAAGTACCTTTGTATGAAACTTGAATAAGATATATATTTTGGTGTAACATGCCAAAAGTTCCATTTGTAAGCTCACAATTCTTTATTAACTTTTATATTCCACATTTTAAGAACTCTTGCTAATTTAATATCATTGGGGCTCTTGGGTTAATTGATTTACCCCAAAAATATTGAACTTTCCCAACATTTTGAAATTGCCACACATTTCTGGGTTTTTGCCACAACTTGTCTTACAATTCAAGAGAAACTCATTATTTTCATGAGACATGGCTGCCAAAACTGGATGTTAGGGTCAGTCTTCCATATTGCATGTGGGAGCAGTAGTGTCTAATACATACAACACTCATTTTAATATTAAGGGAAAAATCACTGTACAGCATAGTGGCACTGGCTGTGTGTTAATTTGGTTAGGGGTATTTTTTTCATAAATTATTCCTAGTGCAGCTTTGACAATATTGTGTACAGTATTTTGTGATATAATGATAATTCTAATAATATGATGCTCTAACATTTTTTACTTTTGGTTACAGCTCATTGTATCTGTTCTGGATGTTAACGACTATCGGCCGGCATTCTCAGAACCCACGTATGAGGTTGAGGTGGGAGAAAATACTGCTCCTGGTACAACTATTTTTACACTGACTGCCTCTGACCCAGACTCTGACCAACACTTAACATTCACTCTCATCAACACAGCTCACATTTCTTCAGCAACAAAATTTAGGGTCAGCTCAACAAGTGGTGACATTGTTCTGTACGAACCATTGGACAGGTGAGAACTTTGTAGTATTCTCTTTTGTAAACATGAAGTTACAGATGATGTTGGTTTAATATTTTTTAAGAAATTGTTGCTTCTTAGAGTTGCTTAAAACAGAAAATCTTGGGCTTAGTACAAATCACTCATCAAACAGTACAGTACCAGAATTTGGGGTATTGTATTTGTTTCTACTCTACAAAAGGTTCTGATCACGAGGCCTTGTATCGTATTCTTGTACAGTAGAAGTCCAAAAATCCGGACTGCTTGGGGATTAGGTCGGTCCGGATTTTCGGATTCTCAGGCAGTACTTTTAAAATTCAAATTTAAGGAAGAATAAAGAAGAGATGAATAGGTACATTTTGATAGTTTGTTCATTAGCAAATATAGCATGCTTCATTTATCAAAACGAGCAGTTTTAAAGAGAAAGCTGTGAATTCTAGAATTTTATTCTTTGCCTTTTTTATATTATAAATTGTAGACTTTCCAATGTCGTATGTTTCCATTAGAACAGTACTTCTCACACCACGTTCTAGTTTCTTAATTATTTCAAGTTTGTCACTCAATTTCAACGTGTTCTTCTTTCTCTTCACACACCGAAGTTTATATACTTTAGGAGCCATTATTATGGGCTTGTACAGTGCTCTGTAAATGGAAGGAGTAGGACTCAAAATTACATACGTTGTCACAGTTTGATTGCTCGTTTTAAAGTGGCGACCGCGCGTGGTCGCTTGTTGTCGCTGTGCAGCTGTGGCGCTCACGCATGCGCACATACACACAAAAGCCAGCTAAAAAAAAAAATTGAGTTTTCAAAAAGTCTGGATTCTCGGGTGGTCCGGATTTCTGGCATCCGGAATTTTGGACTTTTACTGTAGCTGTTCACTGAGATGTGCAATGCTTGTGAGTACATCAGTCTGCTGGCATCTTGTAGGTTCACCAGGCTTGTGTTGTTTGCTGTTCTTGTTGTTCTTCATCCTTCTCCAACATTTCAAATGTCGGTTGCTGCTGGCATTGATCAATGATTTCTTGCAAATCTTCAACTTGAACATTAAAAATCTTGGTGCTGAGGCTAACCACGCTACCTCCACTGTGTCAATTAGTGTTGCCACCATGGACTGCTTCTCCTCCCTTGCCTTGGTCTGCTCTGCCCCACTTACCTCAGGGTTAGTGAACAAAGGCTTCCATGCGTGTAGCACCGTTGCAACATTAATCTTACTCCATGCCTCAACAATTCTGTCAACTGCATTTTTAATATTATATTTCTTCCAAAATTCATGAACTGATAACACTTCACAGTTGCAGGGTGGTGCGTGTGAGGCATGAGGAGTAGAATTGTCTACCATCTCCTCCTCCTCCCCCTTGTTAGCTGGTGCTGGTAGAGCCTGGTCACAGTCAGAGAGTTATGCCTCTGTTGTAACTCCCCTAATGAGTCTGCTGATGAAAGTCATTATAGAGTGACTGATAGTAGAACAGTTTAACATTACTGATGAATTAGTGGTCAAGTGGCTGCAGAAGCGATGTGGTATTAGGAGGAAGGAAGATAACTTGTACATTAGGGTGGCGTCCAACTAGAAACTTTGTGTGTCCAGGAGCATTATCCATCACCAGGATCACTTTGAAGTTAATGTTCTTCCTTTGGCAGTACTGTTGGGCATCAGGAACAAAGTGCTTGTCAAACCAATCGGTGCATGAAGAATGTTTTCGTAGCCTCCATCCAATTATGTGTAAAAAAAAAAAATTTGATTTTACCTTTTTGTATAAGTAGCAAGTGAGTGAAGATGTACTGTATTTGACATGAACAAATGTTGTTTCCTGTGATCAAATAGAACTTATCTTGTGCATTGGTTGAGACAATCCTGTAAATACATGCTTAGTATTAAGTGTACTGTATATGTGGTTTATAATAGTTGTTGGTTATATTTGGAATAATAAATGGGTAGTGAAGGAGTTACAGTGGCAACAGATAGGAGGAATATAAATATTTGATCTGGTAACTCGTCAATTTTTTTTAAGACTAATATTATTTGCAATCAAGTTGATGACTTATTTTCTTGCAGGGAAGTACAGGAAGAACACATTTTGACAGTTGGAGTCAAAGATGGCATTCCCCCTACAAAGGGTGATTATGCTCGTGTTATCATTAAAGTGCATGACTACAATGATCATGCTCCACAGTTTCTTGCAACTCTCTATAATGGTACTGTCACTGAAACTGCAACAATTGGAACAACAGTTGCTGAGGTCATTGCTGTTGATCGTGATAAGGGTGCTAACGGCCACATAATGTACTCCATTGTATCAGGTATGTGTAAATGATAAAGTGTTTTAAATGGGTATTAAGTTGATGATAATAGATGATGGTAATGTTCACTTACCTATGTTTAGGTAGTAACTACCCAGCTGTAAAATAACTTATTCTTCAATCAACAATTTTCATGTCCACAAAAAACTGTGAAAATATATTTGGAGGAATAAGTGTGTTTAATGATGCTTTACACAACCAAGTTATCCAATTTCTGTATGCATGATAAGAGTGATGTTAATGGAAGAAGATGATGAGAAAGTAAAATCTTAATTGATAAATAATTTAAATATTCCTATAAGTAATAAAAATAAGCAATAAAAAAAGAACAATGAAATTAAATGTAAATGAATGAAGAGTACCGGTAGTTGTTCTTGTGAGTGAGTGATGGTACATTGTTGTTTTATAAATAGGATAAGATAGAAAGGTAAATAACATCTTATTTGTAATTTCTTGTAAATTTTGGAAGAATTCTTCTATCATTATCACAAGTTTAAGGATGGCTGACTAAAAATTAATAGTCTTAAGAGAACTGAAGTGTGTTTTCATCTCTTATCTTTTAGTTCTTAAAAATGATTAAAACCATCCATAGGACTAATTTAAAGAAAATATAATTTGCTGATGTCTCATTAAAAAATTATACTATCAAAGCAATTTATTATTTTCCAAGGGAACATTGGTGGTGTATTCAGCTTGGATCCAGAGACAGGCATAATATCATTAGCAAGAGCTGTTGACCGTCAAGAGATGCCCGAGTACTGGTTGGCTGTCCGTGGAAGTGACAATGGTTCCCCTCCCAGACACTCCCATGTTAATGTCAACATTCATGTGAAGATTGCAAATAGTGCTCCTCCAAGGTGTGCTATAAGGCTAATTTAGTTTATTGCAATATTTTATTATTATACAGGTATTGGAAATGTATCTATTTTTTGTAAAAAAATAATGATTTCAAGAATGTTGATGCTTTTGATGATGTATATCATTGATTATAGATGTATTAATAGTTATTTAATTTTTTCGAAATACAGTGTTTGTTATATACATTTACTAGCAGACTGTATTCAGCAGTCTTGTTCTTACTTTTAAACTTGTCTCTTTAAAAATTTACTTATTTGTATTGTAAATACATATATCTTGTTGAAGATGCAGGCACATGTATGTATGTAACATGTATTGTATACATATTTACAGGTTCTTGAAGAAGGTGTATGTCTTTGAAGTTAGTGAGTCTTCTCACGTAGGTGACTACCTAGGAGTTCTTGAAGCTGAAAGTCGCTTGGGTGTTGTCTTTTCCTTCATTGGCGAATCAAGACGCAATCCCTTTGCCATAAATCCTGCATCAGGAATGGTGTCATTAGATATCCCTGTGGATTATGAAGAAGTTCAATCATATAATTTCACTGTCTTGGCAGCATCCATGGTATGTTTTATGTGCTCATATGTATGGTAGTACAGTACTGATGTGCATTATTAAAAAGAAATTACTTTGAAAATGTTTCTCCTATTTTTTAATTAGTATTGCAATTTTTATTTTTGTAAGTATTGTTTATAATAAATACTTATCTATCATGTAAAAGTTAACATAATTAATATCTGCAAAGATGACCCATTGAATAATTTTTATTATTGTGATAGTGTGCATATGTAACATTTATAAATGGACCATTCTTCCCTTTTTGAGTTTAAGTTTGTCTTTTCATCACCAGAATGGACAAGAGGCCACTGCTCAGTTAATAATAAATATTCGAGATGAAAATGACAACCCGCCATACTTCACACAAAGTTCCTACAGTGGTCACATTTCTGAAGCTGCGGCCGTGAATTCTGTGGTGCTCATGGAGGACAACAGTCCATTGGTGATCTCTGCACGGGATAAAGATTCTGACCAGAATTCAAATTTGGTTTTTACCATACTGGAAGAGGAAGCAAGGATGTATTTCACTATCGATTCATCAACAGGTATAGATCATGTACAGTATTATAAAACTTTTTTCTAATGACCTATTTTTCATATCCAGTAAATCCTCGAAAGCCCAGACAATTTGGGGGGAAAGGGATCAGGACTTGCCAATTGTCCAGAGTTTTACTTACTTACTTATTTACTTTTATTTTTTTAGGGGTTGTTTAAGGAGAAAACTATAAATAAAATCATTACAATATTCTAATGTGGCTTAGAAGTAAAGAAAATATGTATTAGTGAACATATGTATTGAGGCAGTAACTGCATCACTGTCTCGCCACCCAGCTGCACTCTTCGTCCCTCTATGTGACATCACAGCATGCACACAGTACAGCATGGCAGCTGCTACACATGTCTATTGTCCGGGCGAGTGCTTGGGTGAACTGTGTCATGTCGCCCAGAGGATGGTTTGAGTGTTTGTTTATACATTTAAAGTGTTCATATGGTACAGTATATTTAATAAATGTTGGGATCCCATGAACGTAACTCTGATGTACTCTGAGACCCTACTGTACTCCTACCTAGTCTATTAATACCAACTGACCATTTATCATGTTCACATCTGACTGTCAGTTTTGCACCTCTGCAGTAAACATGGAGTGCAAATTGTACCCATGCCCATCTATCCATTTATCCATCCATACAATATATCACTCATGTTGTTTCCAGTAAATAAGAAAAGAATGGAGCAAGATATCTAACTTGAACGTGATAAAAATACTTTGTCACTGTTATCTTGGCTAAAGTTGATAATTACTTGGTACTTTCCTTGTAACTATGTCACAACTAAGATCCCTGTTACATCCTTTAACATCTACTCAAATATGCTTCTTGCACAACCTTCCTTGGTTCACTCTTTTGTCCTTTTATATCCTTAATATTATAAGCATTCATCTAATGA